GCAAATTAAGAAACCATCTCCACTCCTCTCCTTTTCATCCGTTTCTTCCACCCTTTCCCTTACCTTTCTATCCTCTCAGATATCACAGCCGCTCATTTCTTTTCCTCCCTTCCTCTCCACCCTCTTCATCCTCCACACCTTTGGCTTACTCTGATCTCAGTAACTGAGATGATGGCGCATTCCCTTTCAAAACGGTCAGGCGATCCGCTGGGCCGTTCAGCATGCCCTGCAAAGCAATTCGCTGCTGAGATTGCCATTTAACCTATGATTTGCTGTGTGGCACAACAGCAGCCCATGTCAACTCTCCATAGCTTATATATTTATTACACCAGATTGTTCAGACCAGTGTGTTCACATCATACAAAGAATGGTGGCAGATCATTTAAAGAAGCCACCGTTGCCAAGGACAAAGGAGTCACACGTAGAGCAGAGGAAAAGTGTGAAAGCTGTCAGTAGGTTTCAGACTGTGCACATTTACAATTTCATGTCAAAATCCTCCAATCATTTCCATTGTTATCTGAAGGCAGGTGATAGAAGGAGGGAGCATGAAAAGTTATTAACCTTTGATCTCAGTTGTAGATATGAAGCGCTGCCAAGAGAAGAGAGAGAGAGAGAGAGAGAGGATAAAAGGATGTGCAAATGTGGAATGGAAAACAAGAAAAAGAACAAGAGACTTTATTGTTCGCTGTGGGGAAATGAAGCCGTGGCAGTCGTAAAAATAAAATATGACATCGGGGAAGGAAAGATACAAATAAAAAGCAAGACAAAAATAGACATTAGGATATAATATTAAAACAGGTAGACAGGAAGTGGGTAGATATTGGATAACAATATACAAGTGTCATGTTTGGTGACAGTTTATTTGTTAAAACTAGATGTCTGTGAAATAAGAAAAAACTGTGTATATTAGAATGAGCTAGAGATGAAAATGAAGGAATTGGAAGAGGAGCATGAGACAAAGTTGCAATTCACAGGAGAGGTGAGGAGGAAATGAATCAGACTGTAGCCAGGGGAGAGAGATATTTCATTGCCTGACTCCCTCAGGAGCAACCTGGGAAAAAGTGGGAGGATGAGAGAGGAGGCTGAGAGTGATGAAGGAGCTGTTTTACCTGCCACCCACAGACACTGAAAACCTCTGGAACCTTCTTCCTCTTTGTCCTTGTCCTTGTTTGTTTATAGAGTTGATGTGTGATTAAGAAACGTGATTACTGGGACAAATATGGGTCATTTTATCCAGGCTGAGTGTTTAACGTGCTAATTGCCTGTTTGGGCTCATGTAGAGGGGTAGAGTCTAGCCTGCTCACTGAGGCCTCAGTTGTTAAAGCACATTATGACTTGGATTTTTTTTTTAAATGCTATACTAATAAAGTTATTATCGTTTTTAATGTCCAGATAAAAGAGTTTTGAATTTTGCTGGCTTTAATCTCTTTTTATTTGCCCTCTGGTGGCATCAGTTAGTAAGAACACTGACAGATTCTGTTAGCTCTTGATGCAGACAGACCAGCCAGAAACAGGCAGTGACTGGTCCAATGTGTCTGGAGCAGGAAAGGATGCTTGAAAAACCTGTTGCTGCAAATTAATCCAGTTTAACTTGTTTTAAAGTGTCTTAGCATAAAGACTTGAACACAGGGTTGAAAATCACACCACCACAGTGGCATTAGGCTATAGATGATGTGTATTTAATTAATCACCATATCACATGGTGAATGTTAATTAATGTGTTGAGGCTTTCCCCTCTGTGGGCAAAGAGTAAGGATAATACATAGAAGATTAAAGTTTTAATTTGGAACCTTGCTCACTCCCATGTTCCCGTCGGTGCTGTAGCTTTAGTCTGAGATATTTTCAGATGCGCAGCCTCGTCTCACTCCGTTCTTTTCCTCCCAGTTGAGTTCAAACTTGAACATAGAGGATCTCACTGACTAATGTTATTTTACTGCATGAATAGAAGTTTAGTATCTGCGGTTTTTCCCTCCTTTTCATCAGCTGCTGCTGCACCCAGTGTGACTGTGCTGCAGCTCCTCTCACTGCTTGTCATCCTCTGGGGATTTCAAGTCACCACCTGAGTGACTTTGTTCCCTAAACCTGCCAGGAGCAAATTCAGAAAGTGACACCAGCAAACTGCAGAGGATTACATTAGCAATAAGACAGTGGGCTCCTTTATTGTTCTTGCTGTTGTGTTTTTGTTTCTTACTATGTTACTTTCCCTGATGCAATTTGTAATAATATGACTGTTTCACTTCCTTTTCCCACGTTTCCTCTTCTGTGACATTTAGATCTGCAATAAGAACTTTGCCGTGTTGAAGTTTGGAGATTAATATTTTAGGCCAAAGTTTTGCACTTATTAACTTTTATCATCTCATCCAAGCATTTTTAAAAGTAAAATGTAAACATGAAGCAAAGACCAGGATGTGGATAGAAACTGTTTTTGTACTTAGGCTTGTGTGGATAAATTATTCAAGCCTGAGTCAGTGTTAAAAAATAATGATGCTGGTTAATTAGCAGTAAATATAAATTATTGGTGCAAACCGTTTGTTATTAAATATTTAATCTTGACTTGAACCTTTCAAAATGTTTTTATAACCTGCTACAGTTTGTAATAATCCACTGAAAATATCTCACTGTGCTGCAACATTAGATTTGTAGTTTTGAGGGCAGGGAAAACCAGCTGTAAACACAAATATCAGCACCCTAATGTTGATATGGTAAACATCTTAGCAAACAGTTGTCTATGTAAACAGCCAGCAGTGACAACATGACCATCCATGTGCAGTGTGTTCATGTGCCCATGATGAGTCACAGCCCAGGGCTCCTTCTCTGTTTGCTCTGGGTTTGGTCTCCATCACCTCCTGATGGAAACCTCAGGCTCTTTAGCTGGTAAATTCCCCACTGTGTTGTATAACAGTCTAAAGCCCCTTTCCCACTGCACCAAAACCTACAGTGCCTTGCGAAAGTATTCGGCCCCCTTGAACTTTGCGAACTTTTGCCACATTTCAGGCTTCAAACATAAAGATATAAAACTGTAATTTTTTGTGAAGAATCAACAACAAGTGGGACACAATCATGAAGTGGAACGAAATTTATTGGATATGTCAAACTTTTTTAACAAATAAAAAACTGAAAAATTGGGCGTGCAAAATTATTCAGCCCCCTTAAGTTAATACTTTGTAGCGCCACCTTTTGCTGCGATTACAGCTGTAAGTCACTTGGGGTATGTCTCTATCAGTTTTGCACATCGAGAGACGGAAATTTTTGCCCATTCCTCCTTGCAAAACAGCTCGAGCTCAGTGAGGTTGGATAGAGAGCGTTTGTGAACAGCAGTTTTCAGTTCTTTCCACAGATTCTCAATTGGATTCAGGTCTGGACTTTGACTTGGCCATTCTAACACCTGGATATGTTTATTTGTGAACCATTCCATTGTAGATTTTGCTTTATGTTTTGGATCATTGTCTTGTTGGAAGACAAATCTCCGTCCCAGTCTCAGGTCTGTTGCAGACTCCATCAGGTTTCCTTCCAAAATGGTCCTGTATTTGGCTCCATCCATCTTCCCATCAATTTTAACCATCTTCCCTGCCCCTGCTGAAGAAAAGCAGGCCCAAACCATGATGCTGCCACCACCATGTTTGACAGTGGGGATGGTGTGTTCAAGGTGATGAGCTGTGTTGCTTTTACGCCAAACATAACATTTTGCATTGTTGCCAAAAAGTTCGATTTTGGTTTCATCTGACCAGAGCACCTTCTTCCACATGTTTGGTGTGTCTCCCAGGTGGCTTGTGGCAAACTTTAAACGACACTTTTTATGGATATCTTTAAGAAATGGCTTTCTTCTTGCCACTCTTCCATAAAGGCCAGATTTGTGCAGTATACGACTGATTGTTGTCCTATGGACAGAGTCTCCCACCTCAGCTGTAGATCTCTGCAGTTCATCCAGAGTGATCATGGGCCTCTTGGCTGCATCTCTGATCAGTCTTCTCCTTGTATGAGCTGAAAGTTTAGAGGGACGGCCAGGTCTTGGTAGATTTGCAGTGGTCTGATACTCCTTCCATTTCAATATTATCGCTTGCACAGTGCTCCTTGGGATGTTTAAAGCTTGGGAAATCTTTTTGTATCCAAATCCGGCTTTAAACTTCTCCACAACAGTATCTCGGACCTGCCTGGTGTGTTCCTTGTTCTTCATGATGCTCTCTGCGCTTTAAACGGACCTCTGAGACTATCACAGTGCAGGTGCATTTATACGGAGACTTGATTACACACAGGTGGATTCTATTTATCATCATTAGTCATTTAGGTCAACATTGGATCATTCAGAGATCCTCACTGAACTTCTGGAGAGAGTTTGCTGCACTGAAAGTAAAGGGGCTGAATAATTTTGCACGCCCAATTATTCAGTTTTTTATTTGTTAAAAAAGTTTGAAATATCCAATAAATTTCGTTCCACTTCATGATTGTGTCCCACTTGTTGTTGATTCTTCACAAAAAATTACAGTTTTATATCTTTATGTTTGAAGCCTGAAATGTGGCAAAAGGTCGCAAAGTTCAAGGGGGCCGAATACTTTCGCAAGGCACTGTATAAAGCACATCCACGCAATGGCGCGTTCAGCAATTGGTATCATATTTGACGTCACAAATGTGATGACGTCAAATATGACGTATCAGAGGGAGAACAAGCTTGTTTGCTGGAGAGCCAAGCCGGGTTGGCCGGCAGTTGAGCTGGGTATAAAAAAAAAACATTGTATACATGGTACTTTTGGTGGGAAAGTGGTGTCATAGGCAGGCGGCTTCAGAATCTTGACTTATTTTGCAAACCCTTGTTAGATTTTAATTAGGCTGTTTGACACAAATCCAATAAAAACTGGCTAAAATTCTCACTCAAGATCATAACAAAGACAAAAAGTGGATATATTCACAGATTACACTTGTTTTTAAGAATGTTCTCTCTTACTCATCCAAACGTCAAGTAGCAGCAGTCATCACCAATACAACTGCTCTGTGTGTGTTCCCAGGCTGGAGTCTCCTACTCGCTCCCTGCTGATGGAGGCTCCTAAAGGCATCCAGATCCTGGCCGAGGCTGGAGACATCCAGGCCATCTGCAGGAACGAGCTGCGACTGGAGTCCAAAGACGGAGAGGTACGTCAGCCAGAGCTCACACTGAGCAGACAGGGCCTCCACCAGATCACTGATATATAGGATATAGTCTAGTTACATGTCCACCTCGGGTCTTATTTTCACAGTTTTGATAATAATCGTATTGTACTCACTGAGGTCTGGCAACACTGAGATGTCTGATGAATCAACAAACAGTCAGATTGATCAGACAGATAACAAACCATATGTTCTATAAATGTATTTCAAAGAGAAGCACAAGTAAACGTTAAAATTAGCACCCTGTGTACGCATCCACAGTTTACCCACCTACTGTATGTCTTGCTTCAAAGCTACCATGTGAAGGATTATAACTGAAGTAGTTTGGCGTGCTTACATTGTGATTATAATTTATAAATTTTGAACTACTATTGTCTGGAAACAGTTTTTAGTTGTAACAAATTGGCTGAATTTCTTTTGATACACAGTTCCTCACTCTGAGCGTTTTACTACAAAATATCCTCTGAAAAGTGCAGCACACATACAGTCTGTCACTACAGCTGATCACTAAATAAGTGGTAAGACGGACCTTTATCACAGCACACATTCTGACTTGTCATCGCAGGAGAAAAGGTCTGTCTTGCTATTTATTTATAAAACAGTAACATTCAAGGATGTAATTGTCCATTTAAGATATTGGATAATTAACACTTTGAGAACTGAAATACAGTCTGCATTGTTTCTACATCAAACCATTAAGTTGTTTCATGACACAGTGATGAAGCACAGTGAGCGAAAAATATCCTGTTTTATTTTTAAAAAATCTTTAAAAATGATTTTCTTTGTTGGACGTAGTCGTGTTGTGCTGCCTGCACAGAGATACAAGCCTCCACTCTGTGTACTGGCAAGATGAGATATTAACTTCTCTTGTCCTCTGGCCATACTGGCTGATGGGACTTAGTCAATATTTCTCCTGTCCAGACTTATTTTTAGCAAACAACAGTCCAAACAATACTCAGCTCCCTCAGCCAACATGGACCAGCATTTTGCTTTTGGCTGGTAGCAGTTTTCCCACACACTGGATGTCCACCAAAACTCGTTCAACAGAAAAACAGAGAACAGGAGTTGATAGTTTTTCTTTCTTCCTCCGGTTCTCCTTTCAGTTTGATTCCTATTTGAGCCTTTCACATGCTTCATCTAGCAACCTTTCCTTCCATCTTTCCCTTCTTCTTTAACTTTGCTTATTTACCATCTCTTTTACGCACCTCCTCATCCTAAAGCTGCTTTTCTTCTTCTTTCATCCTTTCCTCCCTGCTCCTAAATTCCTTCAACCATCCTCCGATCCGTTACACACATCAGTCCTCGCCTTCATCACGCTTGGCCATGCTGATAAAAGGATTTCCCTCCTTAGGTTGCACCCATGTCATGTCAGATCTGCTAAAATCAGGGCCTGAGGATTAAGGAGAAGAAAGCATTTAAAAGTTTCCCACAAAAACAGTTTCCTACATTAAGACAGGCTGCGGTTATGAGATGAACAAGGAGAGGGAGAGGCAGTTTGAGGAAGGTGCCCTGTGATTTAAAGTGAGCATAGAAATGGTCTGAATCCACATCCTCTCACACTTTTCATGGGTGCGTGGGCGAAAATAAGGCTGTAAGCTCATTACAGTCAACTCATAATTCCATAATTAAAATCACACTGCACACCCCATTAGAGCTGTAAATGTCCATTTGTCAGGCCTCTGTCTTACACACCCTCTCCTCAGGCTCCGCCACCACAATTACAGAAAGGTTTCAACCATGAGACGCTCACAGACCACACAGAAATAGCCCCCGGCACGCACACACTGGTTTAAGCAGTGAAACAGTTTTCTAAGGCCACTCAAAGTCACATAACCATCTCAGACTCTTAAAGAGAAACACCCACTCTAATATCTGGCTCAGCGTTGTTAACTAGAGGTGACACCGTGCTTTTTCCTGTACAGTTGTGATGTACTATAGTACCGTACTATATCACAGCCGTCACCATAGACTGCTTATAAATATAGACAACGTGTCACCACTTCCCTCCACTACAAAGTGAAGCCAAAGTGGTGGCTGCCATCTTGGCATTCTGCAACCAGATTCTGCTCAGTAGTGACCGAGTAGTTGAGTGACATATCGGACTGCCAATCAGAGCTGTCAATCATCTGTAATACACCCCTTTTTATGTCATCAAATAATGTATTATTCCATTTAGTGTGGAATAATACATGAGTGTTTCCCCGAACTCGATGCTACGTAACAAGCAGCATGCTGGCACGGGGAAATGAAACACAGCCATTGAGGCCAGTGCAGTTGTGTTTTTCTCCTTCCAAAACCTAGTGTGGTCTTACACTGGTTTCACTTACACATCTATTTTATTTTTGAATGTTGGAATTTTTCAAACTAATGCAAAAATCTAAGTGAAAATTGTTTAATTATATAAATAGACTTTTTATTTGCAGTACATACAAACACAAAAACATTTTTTTTTAAAACTTCTGCTTATGTTTATTTTGCCATTGGCATTATGACCAGAGGCATCTTCTGAGCTTTGTTTCTCTTTTTCCAGCTGCAGTAGCTAACAAAAAAACTTTAGACCATTTGGGGATATAAAATAAAATGAAAAAAATAAATTTAAATAAAAAGCATAAATCAAAAAGGAGTTTGAACAGTCACTGTATTTTTCTGTGAAACTCTCTTACCTTTATCTGCCAAATCCATGTGGACTTTTGTCCTTTATTTGTGCACGCACACACACAGAGTTTCTCTGTGTTTCACACCATCTACCCGTCGTGTTCGACAGCAGCTGTCTGAGGAAGTCAGCTGAGACTCTGCTTTAAAAACGTTCCAGGTCATTTGATGGTGATGCCTCCCTAAGGTTCCTGGTAATGACTCCTTTACCTTTTTATGGCTGGAGAGACCTCCTCCCCTCGGCCAGTGGGACATCAGTGCTGTACAAGCCCCAGGAGGCCGGCGAGAAGGAGGGGAGGGCAGACAAATGGGATTTATGCAGCACTGGTTTGTGTCTGTGCAGAGGGAGAAAGACAGTTTGTTTTGATCAGCGTGGGGACAAGGGGAGTAAAATGATTGGCAGAAGAAATTTTCTTGGAGTTTTACTCTTTTTTTTTTTTTTTTCAGGTGTCTAGCGGAGTGACTTGGGGAACCACAGACAGTAAACTTTTTTTGGCCAAATATGGGTTTTATTTTAATATTCTTGTCTTATTTTTGTCTGTCAAAAGAATGTAAAGGAATAGCCACGAATCTTTAGAGAAATTCTGGTGATGGGTCAGCTTGGCCAAACTCACAATACAGTAGTTAATTCATTTTGAAAATTATAACAAATTTGGAAATAGCAGTCATTTGGTGAGGGTAACAAATTTAGGACTTGCTGTCGCATTCACAATATTTTGGCTTCACCTTTGCACAGTGGAGGGAAGTGGTGACGCGTCATCCATTTTTTCTATACAGTCTATGGTGTAAACTTTCCGATTCTGACTGATGGCAAAACAAAAAACGTCACATTTTTCTGTTATTTCCCTTCCTTCTCTCATTAGTCTTTTTGTCTCTGTGCACATATGCATCTCAGTTTTATAGTTTTGGCATAAGCAAAACATTTTCACCTACACAAAAACATATCCAGCTTTCACAGATTTTGTCTTTGCATCACTTTCTGACCTAGAGCAACTTTATATCTCTCTGTCTTTTGTAAAATGTACAAGTTTTAAGGTTTGTCTGTCTTTATTATCCTCAAACCACAATGCCAGATTTCCAGACTTCCTCTTCTTCTCTCCTGGCAGTCTTTTCTTCCCCACTATCACTGGCTCTCTCTCACTCCACTGCAGATCTCTCTGGACGCTCGGCGGATTCGCCTGATGCGACTTCCGGAGGGAAAAGCCTCCACCAGCTCCTCGTCCTCCGGGACCAGGCAGACTGTCTACGAGGTTTGCGTTTGCCCCAACGGGAGGCTTTTTCTGTCCCAGGCTGGCGTCGGATCCACCTGTCAGATCAGTCACAATGTCTGCCTCTAGGACTGATACTACAAATATAACTAAACACATAAATACCCCAAAAGACAGATGGACAGATGTAAACAGCACTAGAACCGACTCACAGCAGACACAGACGTACAAGGACTGCCAGAGCTGATGGAGATATAAACAATCATAGATACTGTATCTATTTAGATACACTGATGTATACACTTTACATTCATAAGCACTCAGACTGATATTTAGGCTCAGCCGATATGATTTAAAAGACCAGTACTGAAAATTTTGAACTGAAGCTGTCAACACCTGATATTTTGTGCCAAAATTTTAAAGCTAGGTATATTTTTCCCTGAATTTTATATGAGAAGAAAAGCCAGTGAATACAGTATGTAAAACTCTCCACTGAGTGTCATACGCATCTCTGTGTGCTCTTTAAACCGACACTACACAAAGACTAACTAAACTACAACAAACAGCAACTTTCTAGTACAACTTACACTACCAGTTAAAACCCGGGTCTAGTAGTGTAGATCACAGTGGTCGCCTTTATCTTTTCCTACATTGAATGGATGCAGTATTTAATAAAAGGCCAGTACTGGTAATATATCGGTCTGACCCTAACAGTCACTGGTGATACTGCTATTTATTAATAGCTCACACACATACAGATGCACGCACTAGCTTTCAGACAGGCATACACACAGTATAGGTGTTTCAACACATGAACACGGTGTATACACACACACACACACACACACACACTTTGCTCATAGGAACCTCCTGGTAGAAACTCTCCAGAGATTTGTTAGAAGAGACACTGATCTGTTCCCTTTCTCTCTCAAGAGCATTTCAGTACCAGAACCACTAGGGTGATCACCTGCCCCTCCTCCCCTCCGCTCTCCATCTCCTTTCCCCTCACCTGCTATTCTTCCTCCTCCAGTGTTCACCACAGCTGAGATCATTAAAGGATTCTTACTTTCCCTGTTGCTTATAAGGCATTTAAGGCCAAATATACACAATACAAGCACCTAATGATTACTGTTCCTATTACGAAGCGGATCAGGATACAAGATGGAACAGTCCAGACGCATACCGGATCCTGGTGCGTATGGGGTACATACATGCAGACTGCATTAGGTGATGTTAGTGTGTCTGTGTCACTTTTTCTTTTTTCACCATTGGAACAATTTCCAAGTAAACTTTTAAATTATTGGTTCCAAAGCTGATTTGAGTTACAGCTGAAAGTTGTGTCAGATTGTGACATGATGCCATGTTTGTGTCATATTGCGTTTACCCAACCCTGATCATTCAAATCCCTAGTGCTAGTGTCAGTTTGATCACAGGGATTTTAGTGATTAGACAACAAATTACCCCTTTGTATTGAATTTGTATCTACTTGTATTTGTAGAAGGTTAAGATTTTCTTGCTCAGTTCCCCACCTTCTGCTATCCCATAAAGCCCCTGGACAGGGGCTAACTTTACCTCAAGTCGTCACATGTTCAGTGGGTCTTCCTGAGATGCGACATGAAATTGGCACCAGTGTCTCTGGTCTGTTAGAGCTCAAAGGTCTGATGTACACACTTGTCTTTAAACTGAGTGGATAGTTCATTTAGTTTCCTGTAATGAATGTCAGTGTTCTGGTTTCCATGCTCCTCGCTGACAAAACAGCATCACCTTCCTTCGACCCTGCCAATGAAGAAAAGAATAAAAAAAAAATAACAACCTTTTTCTCACGCAGAGAAAAAAGAACCGATGCCATAGATGTAAGCAGCTCCAAGCTTGGAGGTGATCACCCTACTTGTTTCTTGCACTGGGACATTTTTTAAGAAGAACAAATAAGACTAACTAATGTGAGCCACTTTGTCGAAGGAGGGGAACGGTGCCTGTGCCTTATGTCAATGCACTTGTGGCAAGAAGAAGCACATCACACTGACTTTCTTTGGCATCAGCGAGTAACGTGATCTCTGATTTCAGTTCAATTTCATCCTGCTCACAACCCTTTCCTTGTGAACGAATGCAAAGACCTTCAGCCGTGTCTGACTGTAGCTCCCTCTGCCGTCAGCACCTGACTCTGCAAAAGGATGTGTCGCTTTTCTTTTCATATTTAGCATTTTAGCTTCCTAAGTTTGGGTTGGCACACTGCTTATTTTTTTCTTCATGAACAAATATTCTGCGTGAAAACCTGTGTGTGGTGTTACTATTGAAATGCCAAACGTGTGGTCTCGTGGCGTAACAGGCAGGTAATGGCACTGATGGGTGTAACTGCCACCGCCTATTGCAAACTGCTTCACCAAAACACATCAAGTTTATTTACTGTCACTTGTGGAATCTAAAAAAAGCTTTTATGGTTGCAGCGCCTGCAGTGTAACCTATGTAGGCATCTGTCAACATTTTTATGATAGTAAGGCAAAATTCAAAGTATTTCCACAGATTTAACTTGGCATCTAGAAACACAAAGATGTGCGTGATGAACATATTTGATCAAGTGGCTTGAGATGCTGCACACACTTAGTAGTGCACAGCGTTTGTTTATATCTTACATTGTTCAAAGTGTCACATCCTTTTAAAGAGGCAGGTGTGTCAGCCTCCTAACTGTCTCACAGCTTCTATGTCGCTCTATATTAAAGGACTTTCAGAAATATTTCACAACAAATTGAACTTATCTGATGTATTTGTTTTTTGAATACACAAGAGAAATACATCTTTTTATACAATTGTAAAATAATGTACACATTACTGTGTTGGCACGCATCAGACGCTGACAAAAGAGAAACCCTGGTCTTTTGCAAAAAGGAAAACCTTTTTATAATGTACATCTCTATGTGTTTTTATACTAAAATTGCAAAATATATATGTTAAAGGACCTGTATTGAGTTAGCATGTACAGCAATGTATACAGTGCTCACCTGTGGAGAACAAGCCAGTTTTGTTTTTCTGCCGTCTCCTTCCTGTACTCGTCTCTCCTGCTGAGCGCTGATGTTTCACACAAACACGTTTTGTTGTTGTTCTGTTGGGCCCTAGGTCTTTGCATTCTCTCCAAGTGTGCTGCTTGTAAGTTTGTGCTACTATGAGCAGAGTTTTGTTTTGTTCTTCTGCTCCACAGAACGTGTTGAATAACCCTCAGAGAAGCAAACACAGAAACCAGAAGTAAAGGGAAAGAAGCCAAGAAGGAAGTGATGCACAGGGTCGAGGAGAAACGCATCACAGTGATCACATGAATACACAAACTGGAGCAAGAATCCACTGTGTTGACTGAGATGCATTATCAGTTATAACATGTCAGACAAAATCTTTTCAGAAGGTAAATGGTCACTTTGCTGAAGGAGTAAAGAACATTTTTGTTGATCCCATAGTCACAAGTAACACTTATTTAAAATGCTTAAAGTTTATTGTAGTTTATTAAAATGCCCATGCAACAGAATTAGTCAAAATAATGAGAAGGTGATCTGATGAAGACAGCGATCTGGCATGACTCAGTGGATTGTGTTGCTAATCGATCAATAATATTGACCAGATCACATTCTCCTGACCCTGTGTTCACTCTGAGCGCTCTGTACTTCCTTTTCTGGCTGCACACGAAGGTTAGCATCCATCCTAAATATTTATATTACTCCTCATTCTTTAGTCTCAAACTGCCATTCATGGAGTAGTTTTCAAAGATGCCAAAATAAAAGGCGTTGTTCAAATTGACTGCAGTAGTCATCGGATCCTCCCTTATGAGAACAGCAACTATAAACCCTGAAACCTCTTCACTCCAAGGCTGTTTCTGAACCCTTTGGTGTGTCCTCACCTTTCTCATCCCAACTCGCCTTCTTTCTCTGCTGAAAAATTATTTACTAAGCTTTTAACAACTGCATCTCAATATTTGTATAATGGGGGAAAACTGCTGTTGTTACGATGGTTACCCTCACTGCTAGGTCCACAGTGCTATCAAATAAATGGAAAGCTAGCCTCTGTTTTCTGTCAAGCAACTGTAGCTGTTCCCCGAGATAAAACAAAACATAAGCTATGTGTCGACACAAGCTTCTTCTTATTACCTTTTATTGAGATGTATCGGATGTATTCCTGGTGATGGGTTTCCTTTACATTGAATGATTGCTCACCATTTTGATTTCTGTTGTCAGGTGAGAGATGTCGTAGAAAGAAGCCGACTTTCAGCTGTCCAGTTACAGATGCTCTGTAGCCTTAGGTTTTGGACAGAGAGACTCCAGAAGATGTCTCAGGTTTTCACTCAAACAGATGAAACAAATTCCATTGAGGAAATGCACTGAGCTACCTACACTAGTGGAGAGGGAGCTAGACAGTGATGACCTGGGGGCAGAAGAGTCACCAGGAACAACAGAGAACTGAAGGGTAATGATAAGTAGGGCGTGCTGATAGATGACCTGTGGGTTTGAATAACGCTAATTGTTTTGATTACTGTGGAAGTAAATCCCTGCCGAAATCCACATTTCGAAAACCACAAACCACATGTGTAAGTCTGTCAGCACCAGAGGTTTCGAAAGCGTACAAAACAAGTTGCGAGTACTCTTCGGTTTACGAATCAGAATTTGTTTTGTACACTTTCAAAACTCTTCAGAATCAGAATTAGCTTTAATGGCCAGGTGTGTTGGACACACAAGGAATCTGACTCTGGTACAGTGGCTCTCAGTGTGCACGTACATGCCCTTGTGTAAAGCAGCGAATAGACAAGTAAACTAAGTAGGCTGCGAGAACAAAAAGGAAAGACAAAAATGCAAACCAGAAAAAGGGATGTGCATTGAGAAAAAAACTAAAGTACTTATAAATAGAGAGGTATATACATATGGCGCTGACAGACTTCCACACAAACCCCTGGTGAGAAAAATATAAGCTAAAGATCTATAACGAAGTAGCTGCAATGTGTAAAGACAGAAAAGGAAAAAATGTATTCAAATGTGATAGTTGCTGTTTATTGGTGATATTTCAGTTTGGTTGTATTGTATTTTTAATCACCTTCATCCGTCTGCAAGTGCACCTGTTTTCTCCTAATAGTTTCATTTTAGAGATAAAAGCCTGTGTTAGACAAGGCTATGTTGAAAATGATGCACTTTTTTATATTTTCTGTTACTTCTGTACCTCCTGTGATGTGACCTGATCATATCACTGGTGGTCTACACTCGCACTAGATCATTCAACACAGAGATTAGGCTCCATCTAGAAGGAGTGTCAGAAGCCAGCAGGCCTCCACGTTTCCCCGTTTCACTGACGTCTCCCTCGTCTTCATGAGGCTGTCAATTGGATGGCACATGAGTAATCATGTGTGTGAAATTGGTTTTCACAGGCTCTGGATGCCTTTTTTGACCGTGGGCGTAAAAGCAGACCATGTGCAAATAAACACCGCTGAAGGAAAATAGAATCTTTGGTTTCAAAGAAAACTGACCTGGAGCTTTTGGTCAGGTGATAATGAGGCACTTTATTCCAGAAAAAATAGTCCAAACTGTTTGTTTGTGTTTTTAAGAATCATAAATGCAGACAATTATTTAAGTGCAGGCCTTTTTTCCTTCTGCTGTTCTTAACATTATACAAGTCACTATGGTCGTCAAGACACAGAACTGAGCCATCTGTTCCAGTAATGCTGCTGTTACTGGAAGTTCAGTGTTTGATCCCTTCACACAGACACTTGAGCCTGTTGTGGGTGCTGCAGAGCAGCACTGCTCCCTCTCACTCAGTACAAACCTCTGGTTTCTTCAACATATTTTAATTGTATGGCTTTCTGCCGACTCACATCCCGGGCCCTGGCAGAATTCAGACGGGGTCGTGCCTCCTCTCTTGTCCTTCATGTTATCAGCCAAGTGAAGAACCGCTGCCACCCCAGATTAAGCCACGCTCCTCGTTTTCTTTGGTTTATGATGGCGAGGCCAGGCTGCGGAGAGAGAGTGTTAGAGCTGTGTTTCTAACAGCTGGAAGCCTGAACAATGGGCTTTGGCAGGTTGACTCATTAGCCAGTGTTCACTGAGCGGAGACTAACCTTGAGCTACAGACACACTGCAAAACATATTCATCTTCAGTTTTGTCCTTGGTCAGATTTGCTGATATTTAAACACCACTGATATTATCTGCATCAGACTGGGACTGGCAAAAAACTGCATTTCTAAAAACTCTTTCCTTGTATTTGTTTATCATAACAGTCTCATCAATCACACATTAAATGTGTCAAATTGACCCTTGTTTATCAGGCCTGTGGCCATTTCAACAAACTGAGGACAATTCATCTTTTTTCATAAACGATTTTGCCTGATTTTGTGCCATTTCTCCTTCTGCTGCTTCTGACTTTTTTTTTTCCGACTATTGGCATAGGAGGCACATAAAGCTGAGAGTGAGTTACTGACTCAGCGTCTCTCTCATGCCTCAGTTGAGAGGAACCAAGTCTGTGTAATTCAAAGCAGCTGCACCTGAACTGTTAATACAGAAAATGTTGGATTCTTGTTGAACTATTCACACACACATTTCCAACTCGTTTTATCTGGGATGAAACCTCTTAAATATGTCACCTGTGTTGTTTGAAGCTGGTTTGAATATCTAGGTTTTCTCTAACACCACTAAAAGCCACATCTTCGTGATAAACAGGAACCAGCTTCTTTTATTTTTCTGGTTTTTATATGTGACCAACAAATGAAGCCCCTTTTCCAGTGCCTGCTACCGACTCGACTCGACTCCCCTTATTGTATTTCCATCCGTCAAATGTTGGGGATAGTACCTGGTACCTGGTACTGTTTTTGGTATCACTGCCGTTGAGGTTCCAAGTGAGCAGAGGCGATACCAAACTGTGATGTTTATACACTGCAGGCTAGCGACTGGTCATAGAAATCGTGTCAACGTGCGAGTTACTGCACTAAGTAAAAACAGACACATACCGAGAAAGCTGACGCGGAGTCACTATGACAACCATCTACACTGAGAGGCGACCATCTGCAGTGGAGAACCAAGCACCAGATACCACAGCAAGCAGTCGAGTTGAGCCGGTACAAGGCAATGGAAAAGGAGCTTTAGTCGATGTTGGCCAAGCAGAGGAACTCAGGCACATGTGGGTTCAGTCTGTTGCAGGGAAGCAGTTTTTATCCTGAGGTCTGGTCACACTCTGAAACTCTCATTTAATTGAAAAATAATGCAAATGATCTGAATTTCAGCTTTTGAACTGGCAGATGGAAACGTTGTCACTGAAGTTTATTTTACTCGCTGAATTTGCTTTTACCTGTGTTGCTTGCTGAGGTGTATCACATGTATTTACAACATTTTGATTTTTGTTTCAATTGCAGTGAGTTTAAAACCTTTAAAGAAATACATCCTGTGTCTCTTTGAATTGAGTGTGTTTGTGCTTTTTTTTTTTTTTTTTTTTGCCTTGTGTGTAGCGGGTCAGTGTTTGTTACCTGGTAGATGGGTTTACCTGCACAGAAACATGCATCTTGAGCTGGAGGTTTTGTGGCATTATCACTGCTGCTAAAAAAAATCCTAACAAATATAATTTGCATTCTTTGATGTGGGCTCATCTCTTTATTTTATTTATGCATGTCAAAGGGAACAGTATGATTTCAGTGGATCTGTCACCTCTGATGTCATGTTTCACAGGAGGAGGTGTTTTTGTACTGGTCACCCAGTCGTCACCAGCCTCGGTTTGATTACACATCCTCTAACAGCTCTCTGGGCAGCTCCGCAGTCGGCTGCAGCAGCTCTCACCCTGCACGTCACCCAGAATTTAAAAGTCTGGACACATTCAGTGTTTATTTGAGTTCAGCTTCAGTGAATCTGAGATTTGTGGGGCTGAGAATTTTGTTTAGACTGAGCCTTTTTTCAGTCAGTACCGTGAAGTACACAGACCCGTTCTATGCAAAACAAACAGATGTAGGAGGCATTGTAAAAATGCAGTGAACTCTCCTAAGTTTATTATGCCTTCTGTATACAGTTTGTATTTATGAGCTGAGTTGCAATCTAAACTGCATCAATAAACCTATTTTAAAAAGAGTCCACCGGCTGCAGTTTAAACAGTTTGTCACTGTAACAGAGGCGTTTTCTCTGTTTTATTTTGCTGAAATGCCAGAAACATTTCATGGCTTATAATTAGCAGCTGGAAAACCACTTCTCACACGTATCCCCCACTCAAACTGAACCAGCCAGTCTCTTCTGGCTTGTTTAACCATTTCACCCACTGTGGTCCATCACTGCAGTTTGTGCTGACACATAGCTTTGTGTAGTGTTGTGTGTTTTCTCCCTCTGCGAGGTGCCAGCAGTTTCTCTCTGCTGCTTCAGGCTGTGTATGGTTCTGCTCCATTTTACCTAACCCTCAGTGCACCGGGAGGAATCACTTAACAGTTTTCACACAAGGGAACAATAGCCACATTCATGCGTGACCAAATAACAACTAAATGATGTGAAGAGGGTGAACGTCTGTTAAAGGGCGTATTGCAATGAATGTTTCACTCATAGTTATGAGCTGTGAAGGACGGCTTTGTCCTGAATCTTATTTCACAAAGGTCCAGTGATCACGGAGCAGTTTTCTCTGGGGCACTTTGACAAACACCGAAGTAAACTCTGATGCTTTGTAACAGTCAGATCACCCAGAGTTTTCACTGAACACTTTCCACCCTCATGGTTCAAAACCGGGCTACTTTTGTACAGCTTATCTTCAATGGCACCTTTTCTGGATTTACTCAGAGATTGTGAGTGTGAGGACTCGTCTCCTTTAGTTAGAGGGGTGCTTGGAAGTTTTTAGGATGTGGGTTTGATCATCATTAGGCTCACTGAATTTTGATTTTGAGCATTGCAGGGCCCTTATGCAAAGGTTACAGGAGGATTTGCTCAGCTACTCACAGTGTGTCACAAAAATAGGCAGGCAAAAAGCCGGAGTGCTGATGATGGATATGATGGATCAGCCTTTTGTTCCACTGCCACTGAACATGTTAAACTGTCTCCTGGGGGTGGAGAGGTTATATCTAGACTCAAACAGCCGATATAGTTTTTATAGTTGTTATTTCAAAATGATTTGTCCCTTATTAGCTTTTTCTACCCTAGATCACATTTCTCACTATGTTTGTCGGGTTGAAGAATTCATGAACCTTGTTTATATATATATATATAGTGCAACACGCGCATTTGGGCAGTAAATATTACTTTAAAAATGCTCTGTCGCCATGAAACTAATTAGCCTTCTGAATTTGACCATGACCATTGTTCAGAAGGAAGAGTCCAGACCAAATGAGGATTGTAAACTTTTTAATTACAGCCTGGTCCTCAGCGAGCCCTGCTGTTCTGTTGGGCTGTAAAGACAGGGAGAGGAGCAGATACAAAGGGAGAGGGGAGGGGTGGGTGAGGATGTGAGGCCGCCGGGAGCTGTGAGGTTGATGATATCCGCTGAGGCTTCCTGCCTTGTTTGGATGTGAACAGAGAGACAAAGGAGACTTTTAATATCAACTGACATTAACACGTGTCTCATAGCAACAGTGTGTACAGATATGATTTAGAGGACATACAGTATGTTCATGTCTGGGATTAAAGTGTGTATCTACAGTAGGAAACAATGAAATCTGATTTCAAGTTCCTCATAAAATGTGACTCTTTAGAAGTGTCTTTATAACAAATGTTATCTGTTGACAGTCAGTATTGTGTAAGGCATCGTGTGAGCTTGTTGGTTGAATTGAAACTTAAATTAGGATTAACATGCACAAGAGGATTAGCCTAGGTGCAACTGGGGCAAAGATAACACACTGCAAGTGCAGAGCTAGTGTTATATTGTAACCCACTATTGATGAGAAGACTCTCCAGCTATTGTTCATCAATGCTGCCTTGTGTAAAGACAGGAGAAAACATTTTAACACACATTTAGGGCAGTGGTGGCATAAAGCTCAGAGAAGCGAGTTTACGACCAGAAAGTCACTGGATTCGATGCCTGGACCAGCAGGATTAAATCTGGGTGGGACAGGTGACAAAGCAACGCTTGCCTCACCCTCATTACCACAACTATTATGGTGCAGCTGAGTGAGGCCTGGACCCCAAACCGCTCCAATGGAGCTGATCAGTCGCCACAGGTCAGTCTGTGCTTGTTGGGGTTCTTCAGGGACAAATTTGTCCTGAGGGTAACCAGTGTTAATGTGAAGAGGGTGTCACTGAAAAAGAGAGGTGGCCTCTCGGTGGACCTACCCTGACTAAATAAAGGTTACAAAATCATTATTGTATTATTGAAATGCTGAGCGTTCATAGAGTTTGTTTGTTGGCATTATTGGCTGAAAGTCCATTATCACCATGAGCAGAAAGAAGTCTAATCAAGTATTGAAATAGTGTGATTGTGAGCAACATATAGTAAAAAAAACTCAGGTATCTCTGATCCAAATGCCTTGATTTTAAACTGTCACCTCACAGCAAGAAGGTTCTGAGTTCGAGCCCCGGCCGACCCGGTGCCTTTCTCTGTGGAGTCTGCATGTTCTCCCTGTGCCTGTGTGGGTTCTCTCCGGGTACTCCAGCTTCGTCCCACAGTCCAAAGACATGCAGCTTAGGTTGACTGGTTGACTCTAAACTGCCTGTAGGAGGGAGTGTGAGTGTGTGTGGATAGACTGGTGGCCTGTCCAGGGTGGACCCCGCCTCTCACCCAGTGTCAGCTAGGATTGGCTGTAGCCCCCCCAGGGAGTCTAAGGAGTCCATAGTCTCAGACCTGTTTTCCTTTTTGCTACTATATTTCCCATTTCAGCTGTAAACAAATGTACTAGTTTTCCTTTTTACACCTGAGTCTTTGAGCCATTCTGCTTTGTTCCTAACAATGTGTGTAAGCGCTAACGTGAGTGTGCACTCACATCTGTCAGCTTCATCAGTTTGAGTCAGTGTGTATCTGAGGGTGTGTTTGTGTGTGAGCTCCCGAGTGTGTTCTCAGCACCTCAAACTGACAGCTGAACTATCCACCCGACATTAATTGAGTTGGCTTACACATTATGTTTATCTGGGGAGAAAAAAAATAACAGAAAAGAAAAGAAAACACCCTCACGCCATAATTTGTTTCCAGTGTCACCTCCTGACACTGTGAATATTGAGGCAGGATATTAACTGGAGATTATGTTGAATCTTAAAAAGTAGTTTTGCCCATGTTGAACACTCAGACAATTTGTTTGACAGGGGCGGTGGTACAGACGGCCATGTTTGTGTTGGAGGGAAGAGTCTTCTGGAACAGAGAGGATAGACTGCTGCTGAGATCAGATGAATGAGTGAGTGAGGATATAGGACATTGGAGGAAAGAGGGTGGGAGGGAAGGATGAGGGATGTGTAAGTGAATGAGGAAGGAAGGGGGAAAGGACAGAAGGAGGGATGGAATGAGTGAGGTAGTGAGTGACAGGTGGAGTGATGAATGAGTGAGAGAGCTGGAAATGAGTGCAGGATGGAGGAACAGATAGAAAACAGTATGCTTGTGAGAATGAGGGGGGGAATAAGGGAGAGATGGAGAGACTCAGTCAGTGGGTAGTTCTCAAGTGCCTTGTTTTCCTCACAAGGGGCCTGTCAGTTCATAAAAACACTTCCATAAAGGATGGTCTCGTGTATCCTCAGTCATGGCTCCTCCAGCAGCCTCCTCAGTCCTCAGTCCTCGCTCCTCAGAGCTGATATAAGACACTTGGACCGAGGACTGAGAATGTACACTAGGAACGAGCAAGTGAGGAATGGAATAAGTGATGTAGAAAGTGAGAGAGTGGAGGGGGATGACAGAAGGAGGGAGGGAGTGATTGAGGAGGGAATGAGGAAGTGAGTGGTAGGGTCAATATAAGGAGCTAGGGAGGAAGGAAGGAAACAAAAGAGTCCATGCATGAGTGAAGGAGGTATAAGTGATGGCAGAAAGGAACATGCATGAATGAGTGAGGAAAAGAGAAAAGAGGGAGGGAAGAAGTGAAGTGGTGAAAGAGTGAGGTGGAGGGGGAGAGCATGGTGGATGAGGGAGGGATGAAGTCATAGCTCTCTGGAGGAAATACTGTTGTTTGGCTCTTTCTCACTGAGATCCTAATGAATGCAACATTTTGTCTGTTGGGCTTTTGCATTAAAACACTGTAAAATCTCTAGTGATTCAACCGATATCTCATGCCAAGGACAAGAAATTGCTGGTTTTCTTAATATAATCCTCAACAAAATAAGCACATGGGTTTGCTGTTATACTGGGATCTTAAACTGGTTCACAGCATCCCAGCCACAAGGCTTCATGCTTCCAAAAGACACACACAGTGTTTTCAAGGTGTTCACACACTACCTCCTGTCACAATGTCAGAAGGATCAGCTACAGATACGCTGTGGAGTTTACTCAGTGACAGAATATTAAATATAAAGGAACTTAGGATCAGTTGCTTCATCCTGGATGAATCAGCATCACATGAAGCACATCATGGGACACACACACACGCACACGCGCAGGGTGAGAGCTGCTGCAGCCGACTGCGGAGCTGCCCAGAGAGCTGTTAGAAGATGTGTAATCAAACCGAGGCTGGCTTAACAGCTCAATTAGCAGCCGTAATTAAAACACTCGCTCAAAGACAGATAGCATGGATCTGTCTTTCGCTCTTGCTCACTCACACACACACAGACAGACACACAATGAAAAAATGAAACTGTTACACATGGGCTCGTACAGAACTGCAGAATGTACAGACACGCACACACTGAGAAGATGAAGCTGTTCCATGTAGTCAGTGATGACAGAAACCAGGAAAAACTACTCATGCATGTAATTATCAATCAGCAGCCCCCACAACCCGACCACATCAGCTTATACACGACTGCTGTGGTGAGAATATTTGCTGTCTTTTACAGAGAACTGAAACGTGTTTCTCTTCTGATTCTGCACCACAATCAGGACG